GAACAGCTTCCACATCCAGACCAAGTGAGGACAGGGGGACAGGGGGACACGGGGGGGTAAGGGTGGCACAGCATAAGTGGCACAGCGTGGCACGGGGGACACAGCCCAGGTGACAACGCATGGCACAGTGAGGGTGGCACGGCGTGCCCCACACTGCGACCTGTCCTGGTGACACTGTGGGGACACCCTGGGGACAGCCGGGCTCACCCGTACACCCGGGGAACGGGGACTCCTTGGGGACACAGCCGTGCTGCCACCCTGTGCCCACTGCCCCCGTGTCCCCGTGTCCCCTGTCCCCAGGTCGGACACCGCCATCCTGTACAACGACCGCTCGGTGCTGGAGAATCACCACATCAGCGCCGTGTTCCGCCTGATGCAGGACGACGAGCTCAACATCTTCGTCAACCTCACCAAGGACGAGTTCGCGTAAGGTTCCCCCTGCTGTCCCCTGTGCTGTCCCCTCACTGTCCCCTCGCTGTCCCCTCGCTGTCCCCTCACTGTCCCCACCCCGCAGGGAGCTGCGGGCGCTGGTCATCGACATGGTCCTGGCCACCGACATGTCCTGCCACTTCCAGCAGGTCAAATCCATGAAGACGGCGCTGCAGCAGCTGGAGAGGTGAGTGAGGGGACACGGAGGATGGGGGTGGCAGGGTGGCTTTGGGGACAATCTGAGTGTCGCGGTGCTGTCCCCAGGCTGGACAAGTCCAAGGTGCTGTCGCTGCTGCTGCACGCGGCCGATATCAGCCACCCCACCAAGCAGTGGGCCGTGCACAGCCGCTGGACCAAGGCGCTCATGGAGGAGTTCTTCCGGCAGGTGGGGCCGGGGACAGGCGGGGGGACACGGGGGACACCCCGTGGGGACACCACGCCTGTCCCTTGCCTTGCCAGGGGGACAAGGAGGCCGAGCTGGGGTTGCCCTTCTCGCCCCTCTGCGACCGCACCTCCACTCTGGTGGCCCAATCGCAGATCGGTGAGTCCGGGGGGAGGTTCCCGTCCCTGTCCCGTCCCCTCGCTGTCCCCACGCTGTCCCCAACCACGCCGCGTCCCCTCGCGTCCCCAGGGTTCATCGACTTCATCGTGGAGCCGACGTTCTCGGTGCTCACCGACGTGGCCGAGAAGTTGGTGACACCGCTGGCCGAGGACGGCTCCAAGGCCAAGGGCAACCCCGGGGCCACCCAGCAGCCCAGGTGGGTGGCGTGGCCGTGGTTCGTGCCCTGTGCTGGTGGCACTGGTGGCCCTGTCCAGCTGCCAGCTGTCGCCGTTGTCCCCCAGCTCGCAGTGGCGGCAGCCGTCCCTGGATGAGCACCTGGAGCACCTGGGGGACATCAAAGCCGACCTGGCCGGGTTCCGCTCCACCTGGACCAAGCACATCCAGGAGAACAAGCAGAAGTGGAAGGAGAGGGCGGCCAGCGGTAGGGGACGGCCACCAACCAGGGCCACCAGGGCCACCAGGGCCACCAGGGCCACCATGGCCACGGGGGAGGGGCTGGGGACCACCACGAGCCGCGCTCTGTCCCAGCGTCCCCAAAATGGGGACAATGGCACAAGCGCCGCGGGACTGTGCGGGTTGGTGGCCCCGGGGAGGAGGGGGTTGGTGGCCCCGGGGGAGGGGGGGACACAAATTCTGGGGTGTCCCCGATGACCCCCCCGGCCCCGTGTCCCCCCCCCAGGCATCACCAACCAGGCGTCCATCGATGAATTGTCACCGTGCGAGGAGCCCGCGGCCACCGCGCCACACAGCGAGAACGGGGACGTGGAATAACAGCGGGGGGAGCGAGGTGGGGACACGGGGACAGGGCTGGGGACACCGGGAGGGGGTTGGGGACACGGGGACAGGGGTGGGGACACGGCGGTGACTGTCCCCTGCCACCAGGTCCTTGTCCGGTCGAGTGACACCGTCTTGTCCAAAGTCTTCGATGCCATCGAGTTCAGCTCCATCCGCAGGGCAGGAGCGCCCCGGGGCCGGGCTCGGGTCGGTGTCACCTCTGTGCCACCATCGGTGTCACCTCTGTGCCAGGAGTGCCCCGGGGCCGGGCTCGGGTCGGTGTCACCTCTGTGCCACCATCGGTGTCACCTCTGTGCCAGGAGTGCCCCGGGGCCGGGCTCGGGTCGGTGCCACCGCTGTGCCATGATCGGTGTCACCCCTGTGCCATGGTTGGTGTCACCCCTGTGCCATGATCGGTGCCACCACTGTGCCATGATCGGTGTCACCTCTGTGCCAGGATCGGTGTCACCTCTGTGCCATGATCGGTGTCACCTCTGTGCCATGATTGGTGTCACCCCTGTGCCATGATCGGTGTCACCTCTGTGCCAGGAGCCCCCCGGTCTGTCCCCGCTGTCCCCGGTGTCACCCCCGGTGTCCCCCCCCCAGGCCGGGCTCGGTCCTTCGGGATTTTTAAAAATCGCTTTTTGGGGACGGGGCTGGGACAGCGACGGTGGCACTGGGGGACAGCCAGGTGGGACCCGCTGTCACCTCCGGGGCCACCGCGGGCTCTGGGTGGTGACACCGCGAGGGTGGCCCGGGGACAG